CCTTACTTGTGGGGCACAGTTAGACCAGTGAACTAACTAACATAACAACCAACCAGGCAAGCATACAACCTGCCAGCCAGTCAGCCGAACAGCCAATCAGGCAGTCAACCAGCGCCCGAGTCAGTCAATCAGTTTTGCCAAAGCAAAGGAGATCGTAGTAAACAACAGAAGCTCATATTATCAACACGACTGACTATTTGTTCATTTACAGAAGCTTAGTTGCCTATTTGCTTAACAAATGATATTAACTTACAATTCTTTTTGCTTTACCTGTTGCAATTTTGTTCTTTTTGTTCTTATTGTTCTTCTTTTATTATTATTATTATCATTATTTTATTATAACAAAATACTGGTAACTTTGTACGTACATGTGTAAAGTTAAAAAAATAAGAAGAATTCTTGTCATACTCTTCACCAAGCAACTCATTGACTATCGAACGATTCCTATTGAAAACATGACTACGGCCCCTTGATCGCGTTACCATGCCATGATGCAGCAGTTTCTTACACATACATATGTATATACGATACAACAGAGATATTGCATATATAATTATAAACAATGCACGCGCACATATGACTATAATTCCATATGTTCGTAATTTTTATTTTTCCTGCTCTTATTATTCGACTGATTGATCGTTCGGCCAGACAATCAACCGATCAACCGGCAGCAAAATCATAAATGAAAAAGAAAGAAGAAAATATAAAAAAATAAAAGCAAAAGATTTTCTTTTAAAAATTACCCCCTTTTGTCCCCCCACTTTATAATAAAGCAAAAATTGTTGCAGCTGCTAATGATGACCATAAAAATTATGAAAAAGAAGAAGCAATAAAATCAAATAATTTTAACGGACTAACCGATTGGGTTGTATTCATCGCGCCATACTGTCCGGCTAACCAGCCGACTGTATGTAATTTTCCATGTTAACACGTTACAACATCGTTGTACGTCGCTACCAGGCGAACAGAAAATTTCAGCAGAAGCGATCGCTTGCACTGAGAGTGCATTTGCTGGTTGATTATTTTGTTGTTGTTGTTTTGCTGCTGCTGTTGTTATTGTATCGTTGGTTGGTTGGCCGGTTGCTTGATAAATTGCTTTTGACGCTATTGTTGTAGTTGTTTTTTTTTTGTAGTTTTCTTTTTTTGCACAATGCATTTTGAGAGAAATAAAAATAACTCGCGCATCCAATCTGCTTTTAATGCACTCTATCAAAAGTCGCAATGATTTGCTAAGATATTTGCTTACATGCTTTTTTCGTTTCTTTTCCTTTTCTTTAGTTAGGGTGTTCAGGAAGTTGTTCTTCGTCATTTTTCCATTTAAATTTTTTTTCTTTGGTTTTTTTATTCATTTATAATTTTTCGTTTTTATTTCATTGTTCTTCGTTTATTGTCAACAATGACATGTGCATGACTCTGAGAATGACTCTCCGGTCGCATTAAGTTAAATAATCAATTGTTAATTTTACTCTTTAAAATAGAATTGTAGAGCTAATAAATTTCATACACAATTCATACAGACTGACTAATCGTGTTTAGCGAAAGTACACACGCATACATATGTATGTATACATTTATATATATTGATATTTATATAAATATATTTATAAATACATATGTATATATATATAAATATACTTATAAATACATACACATATTTTATTTATTATATTTATAAATATATTTATATATATATATATTTATATGTGTGTGCATAGATAGATATATATATGTAAAATATATAAATATATAAATATATATAAAATATATATATATGTAAATGTATATAACACATGTTTCTTCATTTTCGTTCCAACCTTGGCAATACCCAGTAGAAATAAGCATTATTTATATCATTTGAATCGATGTAGTCATATCCGCCTGTGTAAGCGTTCTCACTCGTCCGCAAATATTTAGTTATCAACTTCAAATGCGTTAAAAAGATTGCAAGTCCTTGCAGTCCGATTGGTATTGCAAATGGGCCAAACTGGTCAAAGCTTACCCCTACATCGCAGCGTGAACTGAAAACACATCTGTTTTAAAGAATAATCCACTGTGACTTCTTTAAAAAACGATTTATTTTTTTACCTAATAGATGTTTTGGAACTGCTAGACTACATGGGAACGATCCATTACCTGCAAAAAAACTTTTCCTTTTAAACTTGGGTGCTTTCCGCAAGGACATAGCGACTAATATTATAATAATATAATATTCACTAATATTTTACGAATAATGAAAATATTGCAGATGAACATTGGCACCGAATCATATAATTTTTGTCTAGAAATTCACGCTAAGCGGATTTTGGCAGCAAAAAAGGCAGGGTGCAGTTAAAATTTGTCGAGGAAAAAGAACAAGGAAGAATATTTGAACTTGGAAAGGCTTTTTGTTGAATTTTCTTAACTGTTAACAAAGTTAACTATATAATAAAAGATTTAGGAATACAAAGCTTTCTTAATGGAAGTAAAGAACTCCTAAATTTTCTTATTATTTCTCTTTTTAAAACATTTTAATTAGAGTCCATTATGAAACTTTGGTCCACCGAATAGGCTTGGAAAAGAAGCGCGAAGAAGCGAAATCAAGCCGACATACTCGAATTCAATTCCCAATTGCGATAGATGATGGTGATAGTACATATTAGATGCGTAGCATATATCGATATATCGATAAGGCGTACATCTTCCAGGCTTTGTCCATTGTTCGTACCTATTTTCATATTTCTTTCGCCCTCACCATTGACGTATTTATGCACCTTTGCTTGAAAATAGCAGGACTTTTTCCCTTTTCTGACGCGACATGCACAAATTATCACACAGATGGGAACAATGTATAGCTAGCGATAGACGAATAACATACTTCTTATCATTTTATTACAATAAACGTGAATTATCTTTAAAAGATCGTGGAATCGCATGTACATGCTCATGACATATAAATAAGAGGAGTCTAGAAATAAACCAAAAGACAAACGAGGTGAAACCAATTCATGTATTTTGTAGTGTACTTAAAGTATTTTTTCGTATAATTATAGGAGAGAAAGGACCTATACTAAATGATTGAGGTGTAAATAATCTGGCAATTTATTTGGCATTAGTGATATTCCGGCATGAAAATATGACCAACCAGTTTCCATTTGTTAAAAAAAAATGGCAAAGTTATTAAAATTTATTTCCATAAATGGTGGGAAAATTTTAATTTAAATTCTATGTAAACTCGCTCATTAATCATGTTCATTCAGTTGTTATTAATGATATTAGTTAAATAATATTAACTCTTCTCACGTAGTTGAAGATATGGTTTACATTTTGTTCGAGTGTAAATTGAATGTATAAAATGTGATGAGACCAACATCTAAACTGATAATTAGCAATGTTTCTTTAATGCTGCTACTCATCGATTATAGAGATTAGGAAAAAAATTTTTTGTATAATTATAGCGATTAAAATCATGAATCATGAGATAAGTCCGACGGGTATTTAAAGTATGTACGAATTTTTTTTTTATTCTAACTGATTTTCAAAGAAAAGCAAATCAATGAAAATTTTTCAAATCGTTTCTGACTTATAAACAAGAAACTCCCATTTTCACATGTAAACAAAAGAAAAGAGAAACAGGAAACTATATGTAATATAAATAAAGAAATATTTACTTTCATGTGAAGAAGAAACTCTAGAGAGGGAATTAATTTTATCTGAAACACGTTTACAAGCATTAAAATGAAATCGAATTAATATAAAAATTCTACAGTGGCATTAGTTATTGCTAACGGTATCACTTTATGATAGTATGGATATATGTATATGAAATGCGTCGTTTTTTCTCTGTGAAAAACAATTCCCATCTAAGAATGAGTTAAAGTAAACTCATATATCGATTATAGACACGCATTTATCCTCCAGGCGTGTCATAATCACCGAAAAACAATGAAGGCATCGCTTGTGATAGTCATGGCATGGTGGAATGCAGGAAAGAGCGAGAGAAGGAAAGAGATTCATACATCGTCCATCATAGTTGTAGTGATATATAGCAGTGCCTAATCATTACGTAATCTGTCAGTTGATATTAATTTAATGCAACAACTTTCAGCTTAAAGCTGCTGATGAATGTTGACAGTAAGACATTAAAGTGTTTTGAACTTATTACTCTCTCACATTGGCTTTATATTTGTGCTAGTATTTAAATGTGATTCTGTAGAATTTTGCATTTAACAACAAAAAGCACAAAACAAAAAAGAAAAGAAAAAAGAAAATGAGTTAGAAAAAGATATACAACGGAAGACTGGTAACTAACTGCAGCCGAATCTTTGTTCAAATCTGGACCAGTTTAGTTAGTTGGTGCCAGTTAGCGAGCTAAACGACATTGAAAACGTGGATGTGCGTCCGTTTAACGGTGCTTCAGTATTAATAACTTTCTTAGATTATAATCATAGCAGACACATGCAAATATAACCGGTAACAGTTACCCAGTTACACTGGTTTCTTTCTGATGACGCGTTCGAATAAAAGCATATAATGCATTTAAAGAAACTCTATATGTAACTAAAACTAAAACTATATACATATATGAGATTGGTTTCCATTTCATGTTATACAATTTTGTGATTGCGGGGATGCATTAATTGTATTGCATAATAAGGAAATCGCTTTGCCACACCCCCTTGCATATGTGTGTGCAGCTCGGTTATACATGTCATAAGAACTTGAATCATATTTTGTGTATATATATATGAGTGTAGGTTTTTTGATTTTCACTATTTATTCATGTTTATGATTTTTTTTTTTGTTTGCTATTATGTGAGCTCCAAGCCATTGAAATGTGCATGAACATAGACAAAGCCTAATGATTAAATAAAATTGAATGCTTAGTTAGTAACTGCATCCATTTACAATATGATCATACACCTGATTACAAATTAAAAATCTCTTCTTTTCTCTTTATCACTTTTTCTCGACGTTTTAATTTTATAAATTTATTACATTTGTTTAATTTCACGCAACAGGATGCCTACGCGGAACCAGGCCAAGACAGTCGAAACGTTGCTGGTCTGGAAATTGTTGTCATTGTTCAAGATGTGCAGGATCAACCTCCCGTGTTTACAATGGCTCCGCCGGTTACAAAATTACCAGCCGGTATACTTCCAGGTGATAAGGTAAGCATTGAATGTGCCCGATTCATTCTGAGAATGTTGCTGCAGCCTTTCAATTAATATATGAACTGTTTACCGTCATGTTTATCTTTGAAGGATTGGGTTTGCTCCATCATAATGGGAGTAATTAATTTTCTTAATAGCAGTAGTTTTGCAAACAGTGGCATCATTCGCATCATAATTTTTCAAGATGGCGTTTCATCGTCTTTTTCAAAATGCTGCAAACCTTCACATAGCTCGTTAGTAAAAGTAGTTAGATAGCATCAGAAGTTTATGCAATTATCGGAGTCGCCTTTGCTTAATATAACGAAGCTACGCACATTAGTTCCACTGCTAATTTAAATCTGTGTAGAATGTCTCCAGTCAATCATTAGGCAGTACAACTCCTTCAATTTTCAGGTTAGTGATCGTTAAGTCCATTCTGAGTGAAATCTCGCCATTCAATCTTCAGATAATGTAAGTGCTTGAAACGACCTCCTTATAATCATTGCACGCATAAAGAAAATCAGTAGAAAACCGTTTTGTGGAGAACTCAACACTTACTGCGATCGATCGTAATGGAGTGTAAACGCTTGAGATGCCAATTTACCGATAGTCAGGTACTTAGTCTCAGATCTGGGATGAAACCACGTAATTTGATCGTGAGGCATTCTACGCATAGGCCTAAAATGCCTTCCTTGTGAACAGCACGTCATATTCTGTGAGAACATGATGTGCCACCCGTTAGTCAATAGTCCTTCACGCATGTTCTTCAAATTAAAAGCTCCTTCACTCTCATTTAACTGTTGGCGAGATAGAGAACGAACGTTTTATGGCCTGGAGGTGAACAAACCTGATGTAACCCTTCATGAGTATATGCTTTGTCTCTTCACAGATTCAAAACAAGATTTTTATGCTAAATTTTATCCAACGTGCAAAGCCAATATTATCAGTCGCTTATGCCAGTTTCTTACTATGACCAATCTCTTACAAGATGTTCCCTATACGTATAACAATGTGACGGTCAGAACGAAGTGCGGTTGTGGCTGATTTGATAAGTTCCTTGACGTGATATACCAAGGATTACAAAAGTTTTGCCCATCGTTTGGAGAGAGCCGAGAAAAAATAGGAAATTGCCGTTCGTAAGAAATAGGTAAAGGGATATAGTAATGACCAGCAAAACCCAATTTCTTCCTCAGGTTGACAGCCATTAGAGCTATTTTAGACGGATTTCTTCCAATAGTGTACAAAAGGTGTCTATTAATTATTCCTTTGAGTTGTCCTTATTTCGAAATTTGGTCACATGTCTAAAATTTTACGACACTTGAGAGGATTTTAGATCTGCAAAGATTTATTTAGAAAAACTTCATATTCAATTTCCATTACTTAATCCTAATCTACCAAACTTGTTTTCTTTAATTTTGTTAATTAGTAATTTTGTCCCACTTTCCCTAAAGTATATCATTTAAATCTACAATTTCGTTGAGCGTTTAATTCTAGTTAGTTCCTTGACCAATGCACCTATTCGCTAAATTTGAAAAAATTTTACGACTAATGACTGATTTCTGTCATAAATAATCAACCTTTCAATAAAATTAAGTAATCAATTTCATCGCGAAAAACAAAAAGTTATAGAAATCGTGTCCCAGTTTTCCTGATAAAACCGTTACTTTTAAGGATTTGTCGCGTTTTATGTTTTATTAACTTTCAGTTACGCAACACAAATGCTAACGTATACAAATTACGAAGACGAACATTGAATAAATTAGCTACAAAAAGAAAAAAAAAACAAAAACAATAGAAATACAGAGAGGACAATTACGAAAGACAAGAAACAATTTATTTAACTTAGATATCCGTCAGTTAGAATTACTGATATTCATTATCTTTAGAATGTGGCCAATGGCGATTATTATGCATTTTAACAGAAAGAGAGCTTTTTTAGTTTATTTAGAAAATATAATTTCTTTTTATGCACAATCTATGATCATGCCTAAGCAATTTTCTTTATACTCAAGTTAAACAACAGCATCAATTGAATCGAACATTTTAAAGTAATTGTTTATGCATACGTGTTTTAGGTTGTTTGAAAAAAAAGAAATCAAAAGAGCTACAAAAAAATTTTTTTTTTCCAATTTGATTTAATTTTCTTCTCCCATAGCCAGTGATCCTAAAGTAACCAAAGAAAGGTGAAAGATGCTAATAATAATAACAATAATAAAAATATAAGAGTAGACTGATTTCAAGCACGTTAAGTCGAACAATGTAGCACTTACCTGAAGTTCCACCATGTTCTAAGGAACGCATACATGATCTCTTTATTTGGAAATGTACTGATTTTCTTTCTTGATCATAAAGAAAATCGCTCAAATTTTCGAATATACGCAAAATTAACGTTAGGTACTTTTATAAAGAATTCTTGCAAGTAAATTGAAGAGAACTTGTCTCAAGAAACCGGAAATATAAAAAAATAACCTAAAATTTCCAGTTGGATAATACTTAGTCTTAGGTTGTAGATTAAATAGAATTTGAATGTATGGATTCGATGTACGAGGCTTGAGACCCATGACGCTTATCTCTACCTGACTCAGCCTCTTTAAGGAGGAATTTTATCCTATCCATCGTCGCACCTAGTTAAGGACATGTTTGTTGCTCTCAGGATAAAATAAAGTGGTGCTTAATCGAAAGCTGTTGCATCCTTAAGTTTTTTGGTCATCAACTGCCTTAGTTCGCTGCACGGTCCAAACCAAGACGCCTTCAGCGATGTGCCATTCGAACAATATTCTATTGCTGAACTCCATTTTATAATTCTTAGGCTACGCCAAGCTAATTTCGGTACAAGCTTCTTATAATGTTTTCTTTTATGATTGAACATAGAGAGCATGCCGACGGTATGATAAGCATCGACTGATGATTTTCTGTCATTTCTTGAAGTTTGCAATTTCGTTACTTTAGATTTTTCATTTTAACGCACTTTGTAATGCCCGCACCGAATTCTACTGGGAATTCCCATTATTGAACATCCAGTGCAATAGTCTTCATTATGGGAAGCTAAACTGAATACTTGGGTAGTTGGCCAATAGTGAATTTTTTACGCACACAACTTCCCAACAACAGTTTTCCACATCTGCAATATGTTTTCCTGAGGTCCATGCCATCGTTGTAATCTCATAAGCCCTTCAAAAATTTACTGTTGCCGTTACGTTCCGAAGCATAAGGTGGATATTATACCATCTGCTCTTTAGAGAATTGCCAGTTGAAAAAAGGCGCATTTTTAAAGTTCGGGAAACGCAAATGATCGCATATAAATCCCGCCACGATTGTTGAAAAATAACAAAGGCGTCTACACTCGACAGGGCACCTCTGTTTCCCAAAAATCAATTTTTTTTTTGTTAGTAAAAATTAACTTTTGGAAATATCAAATAATTTTTTATTTAGGCCTTGTTGGCTTTAATTCTTGAAAGCTACAACAAATTTATTTAAAATTTAAGTAAAATTTATCTAAAGATTTATTAAGATTATTTCCTTTTTTCACTTTCTTTCCATTTTACTTCATTCTTATCTTTATTACAAAAAAGAAGAAGAAATTAATGTTTGAATGTATATTGTATATCACAATATATATTTTTGATGTAATTATTTTTCATTATCCCCGGTAAAGTCGTATATAGACAGTGCAGCATCTGTTTTTTTATATCGATGAGAGAAGAGCAGTCTGGCATTTTAGCTTTAGCAGCACAAACCGTAAAATTCCAAATAATACTACGAAAGCTCGTATATGATTAAAGTGGGAAACAAGCAAATTCAAGTGCATATAAAGTTTTATAGCTTCAAATTGTGTTTATGTGCCAACTTCTGAGTACTTAACCATATACAAAGGTCATGAATTGAAACATAGCAGCACATGTTACCTACCAACTCAATATGGAAAAAAAACGTGCCAAGATATTAAATGCCAAAAGCGACCGACAATTTTCTTTATATCTATCATAGAAAAATAGAAGCATACTTGACTTCACCTTCGATTTGCAATTCCCAAAAAATAATCGTCAGAAAGAAACGGAGAAAGAGAGCTATAGAGAGAAAATTGTGAATCGATTTATTCATGTCCTTCTGTTCGCACATTTCTCACGTTGTCTGCTATCAGATCATTTACGACCGTAAAATTTACGATACAAACTTGAGACTTGAATAATCGACGGCCTTACTATATCCAAAAATGAATTTAAGTAGACGACAGGTCTGCTTATTCCGATTCCTATGCAGATAATAATTTAAAGCTTTATGCAAAAATTTTCTAGGGTATAGGTTTCGACAAGCTAACTGTGCCACCCACTAAGTATATTTCGCCTTATTTTCATTGGTATTGGTTGAAAGCAACTCCTAGAATATTTGCCTCAAAACCGATATAACTTTCTTGGCTGTTTTCATTATTGTTACGATTGGTTTTGCCTTTGTTGTTGTTGTATAAAAATATATTTTTTTTTATGCCTTTTAGTAAATAGGAAAAAGCAGTTATTGCCTTTATGTACGTAGTAAGAGTGTGTATAACTATTAGGTATAAACTTAAACAAACCGAAAATCAATGCTGTTCTGAAAGCAATTATGGTGTTGAATCTAACACTCGACCGGTTGTTTTACAATGCAATGCACACAGCGACTATATCCAAGCTGATGAAATAGTATTCAAGCACACTAAGGTTAAGTTGTCTATGCTAAGAATTGAGCGGTAAGTCTTTGTAACAACAATAAAAGGTTTAAAACGTAGGAATTGTTGTGACCAGCATGTTACTACTAAAAGCATGAAACAAAAAATTCAGATTCCTTGTTGCCAACCAACAAACAAAAACGAAGAAGACAACAACACCAATAACAACAACAAGAAAGCCGAAAACAAAAACATCTCGCCATAGATGTTTTGTGGTTAATTTATGTCATGCTTTAGTAGCTTTCAGTTAATTTATGTTCGTAATAGTAGTCCAGAGTATACTCTAGAGAATATCCTGTTAGAAATGTGCTTAAAAAAGTTAACACAAGTCTTCCAAGTTAATACTATGTGTATGTAATCAACGGAAATAAACCTAGCAGACTTCTCTTTTCATTTATATAACATTTAGTAACAATGCTAACGCAGACATAATAAAACTTAATATTGATTTGAATTTTAGATACTTCAAGTTCATGCCGAAGACGGTGACAAGGGAAGTCCACGTGAAGTGCGCTATGGTCTAGTATCCGAGGGGAATCCCTTCACTTCGTTTTTCGATATTAACGATACCAGCGGTAAGTAAACGGGCTTTATGTTTAAACGGCTGGCGTTTTGAAATATAAAACAGAAAAATTATACAAATTAGAAAAGAACCTCTTTAAATTAAGTTATCGCCTTTTATGACTATACATCTAAAGTGCTCTGGTAGAGCCTTGATAAAGATTTTTTTGACATTTTTAGTACAGCGCGAATTTAGGCACATTTAGTCCTACTTCACGGAGACACAGGGAATAGGCAGTTCCACGACAGAGTCTGCATTCTGTATTCCGTCTGCAAATGTGACTTTTGCAAAAAATTGTTTTTCGGAATGTTTCCTTCTTTCCTTTTCTATCATTATTTATATTATCTTACGTAGACAAAAAATCTTCATTTTTACGGATTTTCTTAACCAATAGACTTTTCATTTAAATTGGACATTTTCTCTTCACCACATTTTTCTTAGCGAATAAAAGTAAACAATAACACAATCGGGTTTGTCTGTTGGACTTTAACATTGAAAAAATTGTTAATTCATCTGTTAATTGAGCCCTTTTTACTCACTAATACATTGTAGGTCGAGTCATAAGTAACTATCGACACGGGTAGATAGAATCTATGTTCCTGTGTACATATAAGTTCGAAATCAATTTGCGAAATTCCATTCTGGACATACAACTTTAAAGAACGCGCCGACTTTGAAAGTCCTGCTGGCGTCGATGACAAACTTTTAAAGACAATTTTGAAGCAAATTGCACGTTAAGTAACAAAAAATATAGCAGGAAGGTTGAATACAATACAATCTGATACTTGCCGCCACTTACAGAAGTCAGGAAGTTTAAAAAAGGAGTTGCACGGCGTACCTTTTATGTTCTTTTTTTAACGCTTACAATTTTACTAGACACGTCTTTGTAACAAATAGATTTCCTCATCTTTTCACCGGCTTTAAGCACACTTTGGCCTACAAAAAAAAATGAACAGACGAAAGCAGGCTGCGTACTTTTGTCTCCTCCGAGTAGCGTTGCCTCTCTATGAGCAACGTGTTATGAGTTTCTCAATCCAATTGTTGGAGCAAATGCTATGCTATGCTATCCTATGCAATTGCGACGATCATTAAAAGAAAAGCGATTTCAATGTACTAAATGCAGTATAGGGTATTCTTCAGCATGACAGCAGTCGACACCTCACTGTAATGAACTACTACCCCTCCCAGCTAGACATAAGTAGGCAGTACATTTTGCAAAATATTGAGTTTTTTTTATAAGAAAAAGAACCGGTTATGACTTATTTCGATGGGCAAAGGATGGGAAACAAATAGCTCTCTTACTTAAAATGTGGCTAGCTCAACTTAACTGACATTCAAATTATGATAATTGCTCTGCCGCAAAAAGAAGTACAGCAAATTAGCAAAAGTCGAAAGAACAACAATAACAAGAGTCATTCATATACATTATTCAATGTTTAAGAGTTCAATAAAGTAATCAGGAACTACCACCAGCCCAGAACTAAGTGTAAGGAGTAAAATTTAAATTTTACGAAACTTCTAAACGTAAACAGACCTAAAGATCGATTTGATTTCTGTCATCATATCAGTAACATCAATTTTCAGAACCGTCAACTAGACCAGTGAAGAAACAACTCCTCCATACAAGCTAAGAACGTATTTACTTTATGAAATCTCGGATTCGTATTGCCCTAAACAGACTGAACCTTTTGTAGTGGATAGAGTAATAACATCACCTTAACACATATTATTTACTTCCACGATCAAAACCTTTGCATATGTATTCAGAAATTCATAGAGAAAATGTAATAAAAATTATGAAGAAGTGAAACGACAGGTTACTAAAGAGTTGTAGAACTTTACTGCCATACTATTTTTTATTATGGTTCCCACGATCAAAAAATTAATGCCATTTAAAATATAAAGTCATAAAAAAAGAAAAAAACAAATACACCGACGAAGTACACAACATCTGTGCCGATTAAATACTTTAGACACGAAACTGGAACATAAATACATCAAAGTGTTCGCTTAAACTTTTAACAATGACCTTGGTTGAAATTTTTGTTGTTGTTCTTTTTACCACACATAATTACTTTTGCAGTGTTTAGGAGACCGGAAGGGATACTTAGAACAGTAGCACGTAGAAAGAGGACAGAAAAAAACAAATACAGGAAATACGTTAATATGTATATAACACGAAAGCGCATCGCTTATGGTATGGATTTTTAATTTGATAAAATACGATAAGATGCTAAAGTTTTTTTCTTCTTTGTGTTTGCTGCGGTTTACTGATAACTCATTTATTTCAAGAAAAGCATGCGTACATATATACAGGCATTATTATTGCAAGCTACTTAGTGTCAAGTTTCGATCCCAACAAAATAGCGGGAGATACGTTAAAAATATGTTTATTACTATATGATCGATTCACTCTAAACGAACTAGGCGATCTCATCGAAAAGCTTCCTGCGTCACGGTCATGACATCATCTTACAAACTTAATAATTTGATTATCTTCTTGTGGTCCAATAAGCTCTGCTTCGCTACCTTTTTACATTGACGACGCTGTGAGTATTCATTATAAGTTTGCACTAATGACGCGAATCGATGGTTATGCTCTAAACCAGTCAGCTTAGAAATTAGACATTAAGTCGGAGACGGGTAGGCTTCTGTCCTGTGTCCCTATGAAGACTTTAGAAGCATTCATTAAATTGCAGAGTATTTTCTCTACGCTGTTTGGCTTTCTTGCGCTTCCTTAATTTTAAGAAGCAATTACAGCAACCAGAAGTCATTAATTAACGCTCCCTTTGTCATAAATCATATGCTTCAAAGCTATGACTCCACATTCTTCGCTAATCTGCTCATAATAAGTCGCCCATGTTCAGAAATAGAGCCCATTAAAATACGTTCAACTCATAATAGGCTATATTACTTTGAGACCTTGAGGGTAGTACGGGCTCATTAGAATCTTCCAAACAAGTCAATTGTTCTCTCTTTTTCTTAACGTTAACGTGGAACTAAGCAGTTGCGAGGAAAAAATTGGTAAATGCACGATTCACAATCAGTAAAAGAATTTTTCAGACAGTAGAGTGGCCTCGACACTATCAAATGTAATGTTGTAACGGTGGATGGGCTTAAAAGTATTCCATTATAATTACTCAAAGTATTTTTCTGCTGCCGCGAAGACAAATATAAACAATACCTTAAAAAAATACTGATGAAGCAAACATAAATAGATTCTAATTTTGAATTTGATCTTCAATCTACTTCCGCTTTAAATGTAAAATATCTACTTACATGTATAAACTCATGTACACTTTTTTTATGGTTTTTCGTTAACTTATTAGAATTTGAAGTTTTAAAAAATAACCACAGTTAACCACAGTTTTTATAATGGCCGGCTATTGTTTATATAAATGTGTGTGTGCAACGCATTTACGTTTTTGTATTAATCAAACTATACACAAAATAACCATTAACGTCAACAATAGTTTTGAAAACAATACAACAAGTACCGATAACTAACTCTTAAAGCCTTAATATTTTTTTTTTCCTTCTATAAGCATGCCCTAAGGCACCTGCTTATAAAAAGTTTGGTAAACCGGCACGACAGAGTTGGACGGGGGTAAAGGACATATATTTCGGAAATCGATTATCATATTCAAGATACATGAGTGGAATTGATTAAATTAACCAATAACGCATAAAAAATAAATAATAAGCTCATGTGTATGTGTTGATGAATGCCATGGTTGGTACAACAATGATCAACCATATCTTTTGTCGTATTCGAAGATAGAATAATACACTTAATTAGAAATAATTAAAAAATATTCTTTATATTGCCAATAATAGCCATAGACACGAAAAAAACAGAAAATAAACCAAAATGATGATTGTTTACAATGCAAGAACGCAGACTTACAAAATAACCTAAAAAGGCACTTTGTAAACAAATACAGACCGACTCTTTGAATTATTCTTTTTATACGCTTACTCTCAGATGATTCCAAATTCTTAGTCATTTTTTTAGTGCAGCACTATATAGATATATTATATATACAAAATAACTCAAGAATTCAGTTTATTACCCAAGTGTTTCATGGTTTTGTTGTGATCGTAGAGACACATATATATTTATATAAAAGAGCAGTCAATATGTCCTAGAACTAACCAGAAAAAAGCAATTGTTTTTTTTTGTTGTTTGCAAAAATTCGACTTTGTCCATCAACACACACTTCTTTAAGGGTAATACAACGAAATCAATGCCTCTTTTACATTTCGATACCTTCTTCATAAAGCTGATTGTCAAAATAAACATTTCTTTCTTTTTTCTGAAGCATCCTTTGAAGAGTTGCAAACAGATAATAGTCGCCGAGGACGAAATCTGGAGATAGGGGCAACAATTCAAACTCCAACGGAGGCGGTTTTGCCATCGACTTATGAAACGGAGTTTCCTTTCGATTTAAAAGGCAGATTTTTAAATTTTTCCCAACTTTTCCTCTTTTCTCAATCAAAATAGTGAATTCATTGCATTTTAATATCTATAGAATGTCAACTTTACCTAGCGAAATCAATTTTCGATTAACGAGAATAATTTTCAGGCGTTTTTTGACCTTTTTTGAAGTAAACACCTATTTTACCACTGCGTACAACTACATATCGAACTGATTTAAAGTCTGCAATCCATCTGCAATTTTTATTTTCGACGCAGAAGACTTGGCATACTACTTTTCAGGCCAACGCGGCCTATAGTAAGGTCTCAAACGTTAAAGCCATAACATTTCTCGACTGAATACACGCTCATTAGACGGCGACCACTTCTCTATCCCTATCTCCTTTTCTTTTTTCACTTTTTTTTGGTCATTATCTTGTTAACCCCTAGAGTTATAGCAAGTCATTTATTATATTAAAAAAAAAAACCTACGTAATTCGAATTTTCTCACTGTTTTGAAAATAAAAAAAGTGGGTTCACTAAAATCGCTGCAACTTATAAACCATTGACCGAAACAAGATGAATCTTTGACAGGC